ACACTATTGTATTCCGACTGCAGTCCATCACGTATGAAGTACGACAATTCGCAGGAAAAGTTGCTCTCCTCAAAAATCAATCTCCAATATGTTTTTTTTGAGAAAAAATAGGGCAACCATTTAGACTTATTAAATCATGTTCGTCTTATGTGCAGATCATCCGTAACACAAGAATTTACTACTGCAATGAAGCTACTAAATGTTAGTTTAAATTAACGCAATTTTAAATACGGATAAATAAGATTATCCTTGCATTTTACTCTGTTTATAGGCAACTAGATGCAGTATCAAGACCATGAAAAACAGAAAAATTGAAAAAAACATAAAAGCAGAAAAATTAGGAATTCTGACGATGAAACAGGGGGTCGCTTATACAAGGGTCGCCTTATGTGTGAGTATGTAGGTCTACGGTGTCTTGAGGTCAAGCACACAGTCAAAAGGGGAACTTGAGAATTGCTTAAAGATAACACCACAGAAAAATAAAAAGCAAACAAATTTGGAATTCTGAAAATATAACAGGGGGTCAACTTATACGCCCGACATACAAAAATTGTCCAATAATTTTCTCAAACTCAGGAGTCGCTTATACGAGGGTTGACTTATGTGTGAGTATATAATTGCCTACAGTGTCTTGAAGTTAAGCGTTGCACACAGTCATAAAGAAGAACTTGAGAATTGCTTGAAGATAACACCACATGGATAAACAAGGCTGTTAATATAATTATTATAATTTTCAAACCGTGAGTTGTCAGTAAAACACTCACTGGGTAGGCAATAGTTTAGCCTCACCACCATTTTTCTTTTTTTGAAATACCCAGCCAAAGTTTATTATAAAAAAAAGTGTTTCATAAGTAATTCACGTAAATTCAATTAATAAATGTTGTATTATCAATCACCGTTCATAAAATACGGACACTGCACTGAATGTTGCAATCGTCACGCATATACAGTACTGAATGCGCACTAGCCGACCGGGGGCCTCCCTGGTTTACAGGTAGCCTATTATTTGCATGCAAAGAGAATCCTGCAGTTGGGCTTGCAATGAAGGCGGTGCCTCACGATATGCTATTATACAAGTACTGTTCCCCATGGGAACATTGTGGAACTGCCTGCAGTTCGACAACTTCGGTATTTGTTGTACGTTTTGAATAAAATGCACTTAATATAAGGGCAAATAGGGTAAAAATTATTATTATTATCTCTTCAATGTCACCATTTCTCTGTTATGGTTGGTAATGCATTCTCTGATAAAATTCCCCTTAAACATGGTGTTCCTCAGGGTAGCATTCTTGGCCCTCTTCATTTTATTTGTTATACATCCAGTCTTTTTAAGTTGTTATATTCTTTGGGTCTTAATTATCATTTCTTTGCCGATGATATCCAGCTCTGGAAAGAATTCAATCTTGACAATCCCACTGATATTGCTTCAACTGTTTCCTTATTTGAATCATGTTTCTCATCTATTACAAATTGGTCTTCAATGATGAAACTTAAATTAAACCCTATTAAAACTTTACTTCTTGTTATTTCTTCCAAATATCGTACTCGCCCTGTTCCTGAAATTTACATAAATTATAATGGTATTAACGTATTTCCATCTTCTTCGGTTCGGAACTTAGGGGTCATATTTGATAAACATCTTGATTTTACCAACCATACATCATCTGTATTCTGATCGGGTTACTTTCATTTTCGCCGTATCCGTTCCATTAGACCTTACATCTCATCTTCTGTTGTTACTTCTCTTGTTCATGCTTTTATTTCATCCAAACTTGACTTTTGCAATGCATTGCTCAATGGTTCAACTGCTATTAGCATTAGGCACCTCCAAAAACTTCAGAACTCTGCTGCTTGTGTTGCAGTACACTCTCTAAACGGTTCACCCATATTACGCCAATTTTAAACATTCTTCACTGGCTTCCGGTTGATAAGCCTATCATTTTTGAAATTCTTCTCACCCAAAAATTTAGTCATGGTCGTGCCCCACTATATCTTTGTTCGCTTATTGACAAACATGTTTCTTCCTCTTATACTTGTCTTCTCAATCCCTCAAACTTGTTACTCCACGGGTCAAGCATATTCGTACCGGTGAACGCTCTTTTTCCTTTTCTACTCCTAAACTTTGGAACTCTCTGCCCCACAATTACGTATCATCTCTGATCAGGAATTATTCAAATCCAGTCTTAAATCCTTCCTCTTTAAATAGTTCAACTTTTTTCTAACATCTTCCAGCGCCGGTGACAAACCAGTTTTTGTTTGCTTTAATAGGCGCTTTAAAAACAAACAGTTCCATAACAAGTTAAACTCTTTTATAACACCAATTTACCGTTAGTCAACAAATTTACATATAGTGATATTAGTGATAAGATAAATATTTTAGTAGCTGAAATTGCATACAAGGGAACAAACTAACATTTTACTTATGAAAATTATATATAGACTGATTTTTTTTATAGAGGAAAATACCCTGGGAACAGAGTAGCATAACACCTATGTGCTCTTGAGGAGAAAGCCCTGAGCCCCAGTCCAAAAGGGCACAAGAGGGCCCTGCTACTAATACAAGAGCGACTGCTCACCAGTCTGCATGTTCCTTCACACTTAAATACGGTACAGACGCAAGTTATATTGGGTTTTTTTGAAAGAGCTAATAAGATAGAACTTTTTAAATAATTAGGAATTTTATTTGTGTGGTAGTTTAGGTTGACTGAACAAACAAGACAACGACAACCATATCGTTGCAGGTTCTTTTAATCATCAATGTTTACGAGATTCACGATCATCAAACATATCAATCATCTGTCGATGTGTACACATCGACACAACGAACAAAAACCCCTGTAAAACAGCAGAATTACAGTTTCAATACATACATCATTATTGAATTATACATTTGTAACTCATGTACAGCATTACTACATGATACCATTACAATATTAATGCATAGTTACATAACAATGTGCATACCTGGATTTAAATAAAACTAACTTTGGAGAAAGACAACCATCGTTAGCCGCCTACAGTACATACCATACAACAGTATTCAATTTAGGAATGAATCATTATAATTGTATAGCAATGTAAAGATAACGAAAATATTCAAATACAAAACGAGTCCAATAATACACTCTACAGCTTCACACACAGCTGTACCATTGCGGCATGCATACCTATCATCCACTAACAACAACATCTCTGAGTTGCAAACTCGAGAAATACTACTTAATACTGATACTCGAATCAATCATATTATCAAACATCGCTAAAGATATCGCAATGTTTAGCCTTACTATTATCAAGATACAATATCAATATAACAATTCATTAACATACCTGTAAACTTATTTAAGTAAGTTTATGTTACCAAACTGGCAAACCGTACAGTAACGATGGAAGTAATCAACAGCCAGCAACCATGTGAAAACCACTATATATACCCAAACAAGCAAGATCATTACGCGCATACAGTATTAATTAACATTCAGACAGCTTAATTAAGTACCTGGATGCTATACTTCGCGGTGCAATACTCCTCGCCAAGAAAGAGATCAACACGTTTACTCGCTCTTCCACAATCCATTCTGACAGACAAGTCTTTGTCCCCAAGACTAGTGCATAATATAAACATTTTTTAATTTTTAATTTGTTTAGTTCTTTTTTTAAATTTTGTTTTTTTCAATAATACAATCATAATTTCAAATTACAAACAACCGAACATCATTACAACTTTAGTATACTTATACATTATCATTATCAGTACTACTACTCTCACTTTCTTCCAATTCTACAGAGACCCTTGTACAACCACTTGCCACACTCATTTCATCAACATTCGGCCAAAATGGAGGAGGATCACACAAATCATCTCTAGGATCACAAATTATTAACGCACGGTTAACCGTTCTAGTTGCACACCCCATTAATGGTCTTATGTCATAGACATCACCCTGTTTGTTAACGTTTACAATTACATACTGATCACTATAGTACTTGTCCACAAGTTTATGTCTACATTCATAAGCTATATGTTTAAAACCCTATCCCCAATGTATAATGCGTCGGCTGTTTTTTTACCGGATTGTCTTTCACTAATTTTGTGAATTGCCATATCACTCACGGTATCCATGGCCATAGCTTGCTCTTTGATAAAGTCATGTTCCCAGTTACCTACATTATGACTAATAAGATGATCGATAAGGATTGTAGGTTCACGACCATGCATTAATCTAAATGGGGAATAATTGGTAATTCTATGGGTGGTGGTATTGTACATGTATACCAAATGGAATAATAACTCGGGCCAATTCTTTCTCTTTCCTAATTTCAAAGACCGAATCATTGTAAATACAAAAAAAAATTTATTATTTAGAATATTCATTTGTACAAAATTAAAATATCTTGAACCCTGGGGTCCAACTTAAAAAAAGGGCGATGAACTTCTGTTTGAAATCACTTCTAGTTTATGTGTACAAAATTCCCTGCACTCCTTGCACAAACCCAACAACAGTCCTCATAACAGAGCCTTGACATTATATGGTCCAGTAGAAGACATCCAATGCATAAAATGCATGCGGCTCCAACAATGTTTTCACCCTGCGCCCTGTGACTCATCGTTGTCCCACTGCCTTGGAATTGATGAGGCATAAACTCATGATGGTTGCAATATATATTGCAAGTTTCTTAGATGTCTACATATAAGGGCTACATACAACTCAAATTAAATTATAGTAATATAACATGCTTCGGTATTGAATGCTTGATATTCCACTGTGAAGGGGCCCCTCATAATCAATTCATTCATACAAATACTCTGTTGTTGATGATACGATTCTTGTGTATAGTGGTGAAAGGATTGGTAGGAACAGGGCCTCGACGTGAACGCTCCTTTGTTTAGTAGCACACATAAATGGTTTTGTTGCAATACACCAAAAGTTTTTAGTGATGTTGGAATACTCTGCTCACAGTAATTAATTTTAGTCAACATGACAATTTCTTTCTTGCAGTGATTTCCAGTTTGGATTCATGGAAGGAAATCAAGATATAAGTGATATAACTATGAGGTTGGTAGTTATATTCTGAATGAATAGCTTAATATTATATACCGCATGCATAGATTCCAGGCATCTGATTGGTTAAGAAGTGGGCAATAGAAAGTACTATAATTGCTCTATATTATAGTACTTTTTTTTCCCTGCCATGCGATGTGCAATCTTTAGGCTGCGTTGCTATGTAATTTATGACACGCACGAACGGTAAAGGAGAAACGACCTCTACAACGCAGAGATTTGGCTTTTGATCTCCTAGGCCTAGGAAGTGTGTACTATTTTCATTACTTTTGGAGGTCTTGTAGAATCTATGTATGAGTATATAAAACAAATATTGACTACTCTAGATTCGGCAAACGGTGAAATATATAGCGCCTCGGTGATGTGGAGACCGTAGTCTATAGATATAGCTATAGATAGGCTGCAGTCTCCACATCAGCTCGGAGCAATAGATTTCACAGTTCCCCTTATCAGCAGTCAATAGTTGTAGGGAAATTTTTTCCAGAATATTATGTAGATTGAATGAATAAACTTATTTACATGTGGTCAAGAAAATCCCATGTAAATACAGTTGTTACAATTTCTTTTCTATACATGATACAGTTAAAACATTTTGGTCATTATAGTGTGTGCAAAGTTGCCATGAGTAACCATGGGCCTCGGCTCAGCATAGCCAGAGTTTTATGTAGTTTGATTCCAAATTCAAATGATTTCAGAAACTGAAAGTAGATCAAAATATTGTTTGCCATATTAACATTATTGAATTTTTTTCGTGCCGCACCTGTAGGCTGTAACGACCAAGAGGAAATAGTCATTAAGAAACTGTAGGTAGCGGTAGCTTTTACTACGAATAAATGGGAATTCTGGACTAAGCAATGCGCATGCGCAGTTACCAAATAACGTCTGTGAATTATTTATAAAAACACAGTGAGCATGCGCTTGGAAATACTAGACAGCCAATGAGCATGTGCATTGAGTAAGTGATGTTATCGAGCCATGTCGAGCATGCGCAGTTACCAAAAATATGTCTCAGAAACCAAATAGCGGCTGCGAAGATGTCTTAAGAACCAAATAACGGCTGCGAAGAGGGTATGATTACCAAAAAATCGTCTTAGGAACTAAACAGCGGCTGTGAAGAGGGTATGAAATAGGAACGGAAAACCATTATGGATGGAATATAATGAGAACTCGAGTGGGTCAAAATCCTCTATTTTGGCTATCATATTTACAGCCAGTTCATCAGTGTTTGTCAGGGGGAATTGTAATTAAATTATCGCAAAAAAAGTATGCTCTATCGTCGTACGTACGTACGTAGACCTACGCATTGACAATCCCATAAAAAATAATCACAGAAACTGACGACACAACCTAGGACCTACTACTAGCCAAGTAGTAGAATACGGTGCCGTAGGGTTAGGCTGTTATCGAGATATCGTACGGTACCCATGTTTTATCGGCCCATATAAAATAGCCACACACTGGTGGCAGTAGTAGAAAGGCCTAACCAAGGTAGTGGGGGAGAAAAATGAATTCAAATAAATAAAATAATATTAAAATAATATTATCATTATATTAATAATGGTAAAAATGCGGTTTGGCTCAGTGGTTTTCATTGTAGTTGTTGAACTTGTAGTCAGCAAGAGTACAAACAGTAACAGACCCCATGGATGGCAAAACGAACAAGGGAAAACAAAACTAGATTAAGAGATGAGATCGAATATTTTTTGGGGAAGAGTGAAATGGTGCAACACAGTAAGAGAAAAAGATTGATTTGTAGTCGACATCCTGAAACATTTGTCCAGCATTGGACCAACAATGTCTAGGTGACAGCCATAGTGTATGTTTGTTATACTGTTCCATTTATTGAGCTAGAAGCATTAAGGTATAAAAAGATCTCACATGAGTCTTAATTAATTTTCATCAATGTTTCTCAAACCTGCTTATTGTTCAGCAAAATATACCAGTACATAAGCCCTTTGATATTTGCTATTGTCAATATGTATGTTGTTAAATGAATAAACAATTAACATCAAAATAGTGATATAAAGTGTTTACCCAAACTTGATCACCATGACAAAGGCATGGATAATGTATGTTTGTAAAGTTTTAAATAAATTTAGGAAGTTTAAAGATAAGAATATTGTTCCAATTGTTAAGAAATATAAAGGTATAAAAGATCACACATGGATAGTAATTGATGTTCATCAATGTTTTCTCAAACCTGCTTATTGTTCAGCAAAATATACCAGTATATACAGTAAGCCCTATAATATTTGCCATTGTCAATATGTTTAAAAAGATTAACAGGTACCGTATTAGCAAATAAATTATTACATTATAAATATAATTTATATGTATAAGTGTGTATTGTGATCATATGGCAAATGTATTGTGCAATAATACATTTCAGTCTACACCACAACTCTATCTGTACACGCCTGCTACTTAAAATAAAGAAATTGTTTAAATTTATTCCCAGATCTCTACTCAGGTACTTCACAACACCCTACAAATCAAAAAAAAAAAATTAAAAAAAAAATTATACCATACCTTTAATAATGTAAACTCTACAATACTTATTGATCTATAGGAAAATACAGTTACAGATTTATTTATTGAAAGAGCAAATTTAAATATGATAACAAAATTTACACATACTGTAGGATAAATTTGGAAGTAGCTGTATACACAAATTCAATAAGCTACCGAAGTTGTGGCATTTTTTTATAGGAAATATTTCTTGTTTAATTTACTTTCCTCTCTGTTTATGTATGAAACAAAATAGATCAAGTTGTCGATCGTGTGAAGTGAATATCAATCCATATTTCAGATCATTTAAGGGAAAAATAATGACTTTACTGTTGTTATTTACTGAACCGATAGCTGCCTTTGACCACATGTCTTTATGTTTACGCAGACCTACAATACTTCCGCATTCTTTAGCTGTGTCTTTAGTCAGTTGTTTTGCAGTGTTAGACCCATTATTTACACATTATCGTCACTATAATTGAATCACGACTTTTATAACTTTCAAACTTTCAATGTGCAGTGGTCTAATTTAAGTTCTGCTTGAAAACTACTTAAAATTCAAATACAGCAGTACCAAGTACGATTTGGATAACTACATTTGATATGCATTTTTAAACATAGGCTTACAAAACAGGCCTGTATTTAGTGGGGGGAAGGGTGGGTCCGACCGAACCCCCACCCCAGGAGATGGAGTTCCGTGAAAATTAGAATCGGAGGGTTCGCTAAACAAGGTATAAAAAAGTCTCTCCTTATTTAAAGCACTAAAAATGTATATTTATTTATACTGTAAAAGGGCCTGAGGCCTATCACACTGAATAAAGTCCCCATTTAGGGGAGAGAAGAAGAAGTATGTGGGTTTTGATAAGGAGTTGCGCATAGTCCCAACCCAACCCCCTCCCCCCTCCCAATTAAAATTCCTAAATACGGGCCTGCAAAATAATACTAAATACAAGATACAATTTGACTCGAATTAGATACATGGCAATTCTGTTTTTAATGGCAATAACCGGTAACTATTTAAAAATAAACATGAAAATATATTTAAACATCAGAACGCCAACAAGCAAGGTTTTTAATAAGCGAGTTAGCCCTCAACCATTCATACAATATTAACACCAAGGTTCGAGTCACTGTATTTGGTATGGATTTTAAACACATTAGTGATAGCCTTCAAATTAAAGTTAAGGAGTACATTGCATAAACGTTTTACCACAAACCACAAAATTGGCAATAAGAATAGGTCTACACAACATACGTCATCACAATTAGTACGGGTCTTGACAAAGACAGGATGGCGTACTTACTGTAGATAACATGCAACCTACCTTAATGAATAATCGTTCTCTTTTTATCGAAAACTAATCGCGATGTTAAACATACTGCTACTAAGTGAGCGCACCCTCTAGTTTATATAATCATTCTAGTTTATATTGTCCAGAAAAAGGAAATAGTACCTATGAGTTATTTCCAAAGCCTTGGGTAGGGTAAATACTAAGAAGAACTAGTCACAATAAACAGATGAATTGCATGTCTTTTCTGTTTTTTGTTTTTTTTTGGACTTGCAATGTTTTTCTTATTAAGTATTTTAAATTATGATGAATAGAGTCTGCTTTCTTAGAGACAACTATTCAGTTTCATCACTATATTCCACTTACCCCACTTTGTTTTTTTGCAGCACTATAGAAGTCCCAGGTCTAGTTGTTTTAAATACAGAAACACAAGTATATCATATAATGAATGAAGTTGTGCCATCATCTAAAGATTCTATAAAATACTTTCTGCATTCAGTCACTGATGGTACAGCAAAAGTAAGTATCCAATCAAATTATTGATTACAAATGTGAATAATAAAGCTCATTTGTAGTTGTGCATTATTTTGCTAGATCTACTGATATCGTAGAAGTAAATTACCGGTAGATGGATAATGAAAATAGAAATGCTTGAATTCTAGGTATGGAATAATTTGAGGATAAGCATGATAGGGTTTTTTAATTATTTGGTGTAAACCAATGATAAACCACAAAATTGTGAAAATCTATCAAGAATAAACGAGATACGTTCAAACGAGTATAAATGTAAAGACGACATGATATAAAATTCAGTTTTTTCTTAATTCAAATGGCAATATGATGACGTCACAATGTCCCATCAGCCATTATGATCTATAAAATCGTATCTACAACTCATGTGCTCTCAGAATATGTAATAAAAATTGGGGGGTCACCTTGCATCCTAAAGAGCTATATTTGATTATAAATAGGCATAATTATAAGCATATGTAATTTTTGAGGCATGCGTACGCGCACGTTAAGACACGCAAACAAAAAAGTAAGATACCTAACATTCAACCTTGACCTGAAGTATAAGCCCATTTAATATTATTCAGAAATGACGAATGGTTAAGATGATATGATGTCATCAAAGTTTTGAGGAAAAAAAATATAAAATTTTTGTTGTTTTTTTAATTCAGATGGCAATATGATGACGTCACAATGTCCGATCAGCTATTATGATATATAAAATCATATCTACAGCTCATGTGCTTTCAAAATATGTAATAAAAATTGGGGGTCACCTTTCATCCTAAGGAGCTATAACTGATGAAAAAAAAAGACATGATATAAATTTTAATTTTGACGCATGCGAACGCTCGCGTTATTATGCGCGCACAAAAATATAATGTACATAACATTTAACCATGACCTGAAGTTTATACCCACTAAATATGATTCAGAAATCATGACTAATTAAGGTGATTATTGGGTCATCAAAGGTTTGATGAAAGAAGGATGAGGGGGGTAAGCAAAACCCTATATTTTGAACATGATGATGTCATCAAAATGTAAACAAATGTCACATATATGAAAGAGAATTGCCTCAGCTATAACATACTCAAAGTTAGAAGAAAATCGACCAAGAATAAGCAAGATACGCTCAAATACATATTTTTTTTTAATGACGTCATCGATAATACTCAGTTTGTTGAATTCAGATGGCAATATGATGACGTCATAATGTTCGATCAGCCATTATGACCTATAAAATCATATTTACAACTCATGTGCTTTCAGAATATGTAATAAAAATTGGGGTCACCTTTCATCCTGAGGAACTATAACTGATTAAAAAAAGGACTCATTTTGACTGAAAATTGACAAAAACGCGCAAATGCACACGTATCTTAGATGTGCGCGTACTGCACTATTATTAGACGTAAAATTACTGAAAAAAATGCAAATATATCATTACCGTGTAAGAAACTTAAAAAATGTCAAAAATTGTAATTTGAGTCATCTGCGCATTTTCGCGCGCGACCTGAAAATTTGTTAAAAAGTTGAAATGCTCAGAATCACTTGAAACGTACACAAATTTAGTCAAAACGTGATTTTTGAGCAAATTTAATTTTCATCGCACGCGTATGTGCACGTAATGAGCTGCAATTAAGACAGTACTGTGCATATGGATAGTACTTGAGATGAAGTATACCTGTGTGAAGTTTCAACAAAAGAGGCCTAACGATGGTGAAGTTATGATCAATCAAAAAATTTGCTACGTAAAACGCAAAATTGCACGTAGATGAAGTCACGCGTGACTGATCACGCTGAAAAGCTGACAATAACAAGAGGTTAACGTTATCTGATCACCAATTTGATTTACTAAATTTCATTATGTAAAAATAGTTATGCTTTAACATAGATTAAAAATATGTTATGCCTTACTTATTTTTAATCTAGGGTCTTTTTAATTAATTTTCTTTTTTTATTGGAAATTCCGTAGTGCAGAGCAAATTTATCAAAACCCATTAGGTTTACAGTAATATGAAAAAAAAAAATTAGTTTGTACAGAAATAGTATCTAAAATGATCTCAGTTTCCAAAGTTAAAGCAAAAGATCTAATCTAAAACACACAATATTACGCAGGATGTATTTGTTTGGAAAAGAACCCACTCTTTTGTGAAATTAAGAGGTTTATAGGTGAAAATTATAAATTTAGAAACTGAGATCAATATGTGATTTTTTTTAAATTTCTTTAAAAGCATTTGTTTTTTAACAATTACAGCAGATGTAAATAACGTTCTGAGAGATAATAAAAAAACAATGGCTATTGAATAACATTTTTTGATAGTAGAAATAAAAGTTTTAAAAACTTTATTTCACTAACAAAGTAGAGGAATGACATACAGTATACAGTACTTCAACTACCAAAATATGCAACTCATAGATAACCACAAACTTCACTTTTGTTAAATATCAAATGAATTAACTTTACATGTTATAAACAATGCAAATAAACAGTAGTTAAAGCATGTGGATCAATTGTGTGTTTGAATCACAAGTTCATGTATGTAAAAAGGGAGAGGCTTACTTTCTCGCAAACTTAGCAATAAATTGTCTGCTTAGAGTTTATTCAAAGAAGTATTGCTTGTAAACTGAATAATTAGGAATACATTTATTTAAGCAACTAATTTAGTTGCATACTTGGTTTTTACTCATCATTACTACTGGCTTAGAATTATATATAGTTATGTATGGCACTTATGCTAAGAATTAAAATGGCGAGCGATTGTGAGGGTAGGGTGATTATGGTAGGATTAAGTGGTATTGCTAAATCCCACAAACCTCCCAAAACACACTGTAGAAAATCAAACAATTCAATTGTGATTGACTGACTTGGTATATCAATAAGAAAATTAAATACATGCATAACTATTTTTTGGTTAAAATTTAGATTTTTATGAAAAAATACTTGCAAATACACCAAAAACCTCTAAACACACTGTAAACCTCATTTAAATCATATAATTATGATTGTAGAACTCTCTTTTTCTTTAAAAAAAAAAAATAATAATAATTTGATGTTCATACTAACCCACTGTTTGTGGAGTTTACCAATACACAGATTGAATTTCTGGAAAATTTTGATTCCGCTTCCGTGAAGTCGGCCACAAGTAAATTATTTTAGTATTAATAAATGCATGATTTATGTTGATTTATTGATTATGTTGTTGCTATTTTTTAACATTTAAATGAAAATAAAAAGTGTAATTCATGGCTTTTTATTTATCTTTGAATATTTTATCATTGAATATTAATTCTTGCAAAAAGTAAAATGTAAATGGCAATTTGTTTGATGTTAGATTCCTTTTAAAATCTAAAATATTTAAGATAAAAAAATGCATATATTGACTCAAGAAAATCATTTTAATACAAAATTTGATTATTGGGGAGATTCCTTTTAAAAACTAAATTAGTTAAGATAAAAAAATGCATATAATTAATCAAGAAAATCAGTTTTAATTCAGAATTTGATTATTGGGGCCATTTTTACCTACCTGTCATATGGAGCCATTTTTACTGAGGCCATTTTTTCCGGGGCCATTTTTTCCGGGGCTATTTTTTCCGGGGCCATTCTTACCGTACACTCTGGAGACATCTCTTACTTTTTTTTTAAAGATTGTACTACGTTATTTAACATGCACATGTGCCTAGTGTACACATTACCAATGGCTTAAACGTCTCCTCAGAAAGGCCATCACAATGAAATTCCCAATAAATGCCATCAAAGTGAATTGCATAATAGAAAAGCAAATTGTTGAATGTAACTGTAGAAAATACTTACATAGTACATCAAAATATGTATCAATTATTGTCCTTCATAGGCTTATGGTGGAAACTCATTGTTCCGGATGATATATCGAGTTTTCTATGAATTTGCCACAACAGCTTTGGTAAGTACACATATGCCACCAAATGTTGAGACTTATGTGGTGATCATTTTTTTTGGAAAATAATGTTTACTAGTGATTTTTAATGATGTACTTTATTAATGATTAAATCTGTGATAGTACGTTAAAGTCAGGCTCTGGAGGAAAACATTTTTTTTGATATGTTGTACAACTTCTCTAAGACTGAAAAAGCATATTTGATGAAAAACTTGGAAACGGTTAATGATATACAGATTTTTGAATATTTAAAAACTGGTGGTAAATGTAGAAAAAAGGGTGGTTACGCCCTTTTCCCTCAGTTTTTAAATATTTAAAAATCTGTATCTCATTAACCATTCCAGAGTTTTTATCATTGTCATAGTCAAAATGGTTTTTGTGTCTTCAGTTGGAAAAAAAATCTGTTGGACAACATATTGTTAGGGTAGCCTATAGACATAGGGCCCGTTTGAGCGAAAAAATATCCGTACGATTTACCAGTTAATTAACCGGTACACACTTTCTAAAACCGCTCGGACACTAGTCTAATTACCTTTCCATCTGGATTATCCGCAACAATTTTGACCACCAAATTGCTGGGTAGAATACCGTGTATGGAATGACCATGGATCCGGAGGCGATGATAAATCAACCTTAATTGTTTTTCCAAAAGTTTTGCCCACAGCCAGCACCAAATTCAATAGGTTTAACGGCCCAGGCGTGGTTACAGCTCTCCTTCGCCTCCTCACAAATGCACGACCAAGTCTAAATTTAGTAGCATATAGCTAAGCTATGCGATTGATTTGTAGATTTACCATTATTCGGAGAAAATAAACTTGAATAAACTAGCCTACGTACAGATTTTAAAGCAGCCATTATAAATTATTGAGCTACATTATCGTTCCACCGTGCCGCGCTTTGTGTACGTGGGCCGGTTATAGCAGCAGTAGCAAGTAAACAAAAAAGAATGGGTTGTTGACCATGGGATAAGTTGAAATTTTCTTCCGGAGTAGTTTCGTTACACGTATTTACCGTGAGCTAAAACTTGCTGAGTGCTCAGCGCAATTAACCGGTGAAATAAACGGAATATGGTTGGCATTTTTTGCTCGAACGGGCCCCTACTCATCCCAGATTCTTTCTATAATTAATAGAAAGAATCCTTCTGCACAAGTATGGTCCGATAATTAATGTGACTGTTTCCACAAGCAAGGTCAGATTTGGCCAGACACTTGTCTGGATTACATAACCTTACTGCCTTTGTGCTGGCTTTTACCACCACGGTGGATACATGTTTATATCGTTAGGGTGTTAATATGTATAGGCAGAAAACATTAGCCCCGTTCATATCCAACTATGGCGAGATAATTTTAGTGGATGAGCTAGAAGATCTCGCCATAAGTTTGAGTATGACCGCTCAAGTATGGCGAGATGAAGGCCACAACTCGACTAAGCCTGTCGAGTAAACTTATGTCGACTAACTTCTTAATCCAGCCTAAAGCCAGTAAACAATTAAACAGCAGGTGGCCACAGGTCACGAATACACCAATCAAATTGAAGCAAAGTGACCTTCCATATCTTCATAAACACCATTCAGAATTGACGCAGTCTCCCTGATCTGTGTACTGTACTTTAATTTCAACAAGTCTTATTTTGCAAATGATGGCCGAAAAGCCATCTCTGGACGTATGCGCAGGAATGTGATTTAATAGGTATCTGGAGAGAACCAGAAATCGCCGAAAAAGTTGAAGATAAATTGTACCGTCAGAAGGCTGGTGTCCTGGTCCACGAAAGGATAGCAGAGAGAATGCGGGACTTATAGGCCACAATAGCATAACATTGGCAATTGTTGTGACAAAGTTGAAAAATCTAAGAGCAGACCACTAGGCTGTGAGAGACGTTTTTATTCATGGGACGGGCAAGGGGTCGGCCAATGTAATAAGGGATGACCCAAAATCGGCATGCCCACACTAGGCCTACCACGCACTAAACGAAATACTTGGTGGAAAACCCAGTGTAAACCCTCCAGCTGGACTCTTCGGCCAGTCTAATCAACCGCCGAGACCTAGGCCTAGCTTACGCCTATATTCTCGACTATATTATAAACTAGTCGCGCGAAAATCAACAGTAATTACCACCATGCGATTGTACTTCCTGTCTAATGATATGTTTTCTGAATTTCTGGTAGTCAAAATATCTAGCTCTAACCTTAACGTCGAACGCGATTAGTGGATTTAATCCAATTAACTTGGCAAGTAGATCAGCTACTTTATCTGGCTATAATCCCATATGAACCTAGCTATTGAAGTGAAGGAGTTGGTGCTCAGATCCAGAACAGGCAAGACCTGGGATCTGTGATGTTTAATAAAGATACATAGAAATATAAAGGCAGTCGTTTGAGTTTATTGTTACATTGTCATGCGTAATGCTGTGACGTTGCTGTAGAGATAAGTGAGTGAACCGGGCGAATTTCGGCCGTATCAATATCAACAAAAGATTTTCCTCCGGAGCCTGGCTTTAACAGGATAACTATACAAAGTTGTCTGTTATGAGCTAAAAAATGAAAAGTTCTGTTGAAGTAATTCCTCGAATAGGAGTCATAGGTTTCTTTCCTTTTTTTTTTTTTTTGGACCATTGGATGGGCTTCTTTTCAAGATAGGCTTCTTTTAGAGATGGGCTTCTTTTTGAGATTATAGTACTTGTACTTGGAATTGCTACTGTAAAACCATATAGGTCAATTTTCAAACTATAATGATGATCAAAACATTCCGACGACAATCTGTTGGACAACTAAATATATATACATATAAATTATATAATCAAATTCAAGCTTTTTTAATTTATTAACCATAAAATAACAGCTTCTTTTTGAGATTATAGTACTTGTACTTGGAATTGCTACTGTAAAACCATATAGGTCAATTTTCAAACTATAATGATGATCAAAACATTCCGACGACAATCTGTTGGACAACTAAATATATATACATATAAATTATATAATCAAATTCAAGCTTTTTTAATTAATTAACCATAAAATAACAATTGAAAGGCCTGTGTATAATTTAAATCTGTGTACATTGTAATACAATATATCATTGTTTGCAGATGATACCTCAATGTCTATTGTGGATAAAAATGTTAGTAATATTGAAAACAAAATGGCAGAAGACTTACAAAAAATTTGTTTTTGGATAAAAAGAATAAATTATGTTTAAACAGTTAGAAAACTAAAATTATGCTTTTGGTACACACCGCCAATTATCAGATCATGACTTCAAAATTAACATTATTGGCAATAAATTAGATAGAGTTTATACATTTAAATGTCTTGGTGTAGATATTGTTAGCTTGGCAGGATCATGTGAACACTGTATCCAAGAAAGTGTTTGCAAATCCTTCAATCCTAAAGTGTGTAAATCTTCGACTTTGTATAGTTATCCTGTTAAAGCCAGGCGCCGGAGGAAAATCTTTTGTTGATATGTTGACCCTGCCAGCCCTTGCACTTGTGTTTACTAAATGTTTTTGTCATTTATGTAGAACTGTGTATTACTTTTTTCTTTTCTCTTTTCGACTTATATTATTATGTATGTAGAACTGTGTAACTATTTTCTTTTTTCTTTTCGAATTATATTTTATGTATTTGCCGTTGGGTTTTGTGCATTTGGAGAGCGTGTCGTGTTGGAGGTGCTTGCACCTGTTGGTACGCTCTCTCACTGGAATTTCTGATTAAATATATATATATATATTTTTGTACTGTTGCCAGTGTAAAGCCAAATAAAATAAAAAAATAAAATAAAATAAAATAAACAATCAATCTACTTTAAATATACTTTATCTCTCACTTGTTCAGCCACATTTTGACTACTGCAGCAGTCTGTGGTTCAAATCGTTTGATAATGGTTTAGACAAACTGACTTAACTTCAAAAACGTGGGGCGATATTGATATTAAATGCTCATTTCCACACACCTGCTAAAGAAATGTTCACATCACTTGGTTAGTTAAACCTTAGTAATATTTTATGTAAAACATCATCTTTAATATTCAAGTGTTTAAAGGAAAAATTACCTGAATACCTTTAAATCATATCTTAAATTTGCTAATGAAAATCATAACCATTTCACAAGAAATAGTTGCAAATGGAGAAATGTAGAACCGAATATTATAAACATTCCTTTAAATGGAAAGGTGCTAATCTTTTTAACACTTAAAGTGAAGTAACCAAATCTTTAAGTAGCTTACATATTTTTAAAAGTAACTGTAATTAAGGCATCATTAGTTTAAGCTTTTATTTTGTATTATCATTTTGTTTATAATGTGAATTGTATTTTAGTTTTATGTTTTACTTTTTAATCTGCAAACTGTTGTACCCAGGGCCCCAAGGGAGACCAGTCTACTTGACTAATTGGGCCACCCTGGTTAAAAATTGTAAATGAATGAATGAATCAATCAATAATGTCAGTGTGCATCACATAGTATAATTGTATAATCAACTGACTTTACATAACCTATAAACCAAGTGTTTTTTATTCCTTATTTCCGTTTCTTTGACATATCTTAAACAAGAATCCCATACTATCTTGATTTCGAGATGGTATTTTTTTTGAAGATTACTTTTTGAAATGGGATTCTTCTTGAGATCAACCCTTTTGGGGATTTTATTTGAGGTTTTAAGGTATTTGAATTGCTTAATTTCTATATTTATTTAGTATTCAGTATTCTTAATTGTCATTTTTAAACATATTATACATTTACATTGAAATAGCATTGCATGGGTCAGCTCTGAGTAGAAAAACTAAACCGTAAACTGTAAATAAAATATACTATAACACTGGTAAAACTATTCACCACCAGGACACAATTCTGGTATTTCTAGTCTATTTCGTGAATACTTACCAGGATAGACTGACTAATTGCCATTGTTCCCGAAACGGAACACCCCTTCAAAATAAATAGAACAGTGCGACCCAGGGCGCCATGTATGAGCCGTTTCCTTAACAATAGTCCTCATTCCCTATTCGAAGGTGTTCACATTTAGGAGCTCCCATTTATGATAAAGAATTACCTAAATTTAGCGGCGTGCTCTATAATCGAGATTGCAATTAATTCCTTGCAAGAAGTTTCTTATATATAATATATATATTATTCCTTGGATTTTATTGTCAAGAAGTTTTTTCAACATATCCTTTGTTTTAGCTTTTGATTTAGTAGTCTGTTAGCATTGCTATGTCCGCGCAGAAGTCTTTGTGCTCAGTACGTGGAGGCACCAAACCAAGTGTGAAGCCCTTTGTATCGTACGTGTAGCAAGCCGGAACCTAGTTTGATGCGGCTCTGAATTTGGCAGTTCAGGGTCTGTCGTTCTTGCGCCCAACGGGTCCCTCGTCTCTTTCTTGTCCGCTTGACCCTGCTTTGGTGTCTTTATTCTCAGAGCAGGTGGGCCGTGTTGCTAGGGAGGTTTTTCGCAGGGATGGAGGTAGCGTCGGCTGCCTCTGACCCGTCCGTTGCCCCGGTTCCCAGACCGTGGGGGGGGGAGGTCTTGGTGGGAGGCAAGTCTCCTATGGAAGACTCGTCTGAGCATTTGAATTCAGAAGCTGAGGATTCAGTCTCTCAGTTCTGATCTGGCTCAACTTGTTGCCCAGGCAATGCTGCCCATTTAGGTGTCTCTTTTGTGACTCTTTTCTCGGTGTGGTTTTTGGGTGGGGTGCCGCCGGCTCCTGCTCGCCCCGGCCATTCGGTCATGGTTTTAGGTGTCCGCGCTGCCAAGGACAGATTGCAGGAGGATCAGAAGCTTTCTTCCAGTTCTAAGACTTCGTTTTCGAACAAAGCACAGAGCGCGGCTGAATGGGGCTGGATTTGCTTTGTCTTTCTTATTTGACACTGACATGAGCCTGGTTCTTGTCCCTGATGCCATTGCCCTCCTTCAGGCGGGTATTGGGCTCATTCTGATCAGTTTAGTTCTATTTCCCATGCTGCCAGTGCGACACCATTCTAGTATTTCTAATTCTAAGTTTCAGGGGTAGAATTAATGTTTTTTAAAAAGAGATTTAAACTACATGGTAAAAAACATTCCGTTATTTAAGTACTGTAAGTTATTACAATTAAAAATTTGAATGTGGAAACAATTTCCCCTTTAAACAACTGAAGTATTATGTATCATGTTGACCGTAGAGCTTTAAATTGATTGGTAATCAATTTTTGTAGAAAAACGTATAGATACAGTACTTTTAAATGAGTTTTTCAAAATGGTAAAGGTGTGTTCCGATATGTTTGGCAGAAGCGAAACAATATTTAGTTATTTTCATGCATCTTTTAATGTAAATCTGACACTGTACTGCTAATTCAAAGCTCATAGCTATAGACATAAAGTCCTGATAAAATGCATCCTAAAATACATGGTCACTATACTATACTATATATATAATATTCATTACTATACAACTTTAAAGATGTATGGATAAAGATTATAAATAATAATTTCATTATGTTTATGATAGGCTTCTGGGATTATGGTCATATACACCAAGTTTTTTTATAGACACTTTTCATCTTATTTTTATATATTTACTATACTATTATTATTACAGTACTATTCTTTTATACCTTATTTATTCATTATTAATTATCATATTCTTGTATTATATTTAAGACCTCTGGGACTACAAGGTGTAATTATTTATAATTTTTGAATTCTATAATCATTTACTATTTTAAGCATTAACTGACTTTGTTGTATATTCACCAACTATTCACTGTAAATATTTTACTACAGTTAAGAACCTGTACATTATTTAAAACTGAAAACTATTCCCCCATAGGTCTATATTACTACTAGTTTAACGCCAGCGTTAATATTTCAAATGCTGTTTGTGTGAACACTTTGGAATTTTAATCCGTGGATTAGCTTACGCCGGTGTAAGCTACGCCAGTCCTACGCCGTATGTGTGAACATACTCTAAATGTTTTTTTGAGTTTTATTTTCTATTACATCGGACCATCAGATCATTACATCAGACCACCTACCTATACACCCAGATTAAATTAGTATTTTTTCTTGATTCCATAGGCAATTTGGAAAGCGCAGCCTGTCATCATCAGCCTTGTTATCATTCTACCTGGGTTCCTAATCACCTTCATTTGTTACACAATATGCACATCAGAAACTATTGATGAAGACATAGAAGATAGTGACTTTGAGGAAGATGAGGATGGAGATAAATTTGAGGAGCACAAGGACAAGAAAGGAGAAGGGGAAGGGGAAGAGAAGCACTTGAAGGCTGAATGATTTATCCATAAAAGACTTGCACACATTTAATAATCAGTTTTTTTACTCTACAATAGTGTAGTATGTTTAGCATTCCCACTGAATGGTGTATGGAAGATTAAAGCAGTATGTAGTACTGTTCATAAATTTGTTACATAAATACATATGAACCAAAGCTTTATGAGGTGTGTATTGGGTGTTTCTCATGTTTTAGTTCAGATTGAGATCACATTCTTCAAATTGTGATGGATGGATGAATGCTTTTACTAATCATCTTCAAGTCTTAAGTATTGGTAGTAGATATCCATGTTCTGTTAATTGCTAATGTCCAGTGGCAATGCCAGAAGAGGGTCGATATAGCACAGGACAACTCTTTGTGGAACTTTGGATTCCCAAGTGAAAGAAGCAAGAAGCTACAGCATTTTTCTAAACTCTGCTTTAAAACATATTTTTACAGTTTGATGTTGACTTTTTGGAACATTTAGAAGTGCATATTCTTAACATTTGCTCTAACCATGGTGTGGTTGAGGTCGGTGTGAAGCTTCTGTCAGGGAATCTCTGGCTCCACCACTGCTTCGCAACTCTGAATCATGTACGTATCATGTTGAAACTTAATACTTGAAACCATAATTTGGAATCTAGACACCATTGCACTCAGTTGGTGACAAATAATTTGATGTAAATTTTTATTAATTTTAGTAGTATTTTTTTATGTATGTTTTAATGTCTATTGTAGTAAATGTGTAGGTCTCCAGAGCAGTGTATGCATCTATTTCAGTTTCATATTGATAGGGAAGAAAGAATTACACAACATGTACAATTGTGTTCTCATTTTGGGTAAAACATAGTATAGCGTGCTAGGTGTAAAATCTGTGTGTGTGTTCATGTAAAATGTATTTAAATTAGGACATTACATTCCACAAATTTATATGTATAGATGTAGTTTGAAGCTCACAATTATACTATTTCAGATAGTGGTATTCAACACCCAATCCTCTTTTATACAATAAATATAAACCTTGGTGCAGTATGATGCTTTAGTTAGTGTTAGTGACCATGAATTATACAATAGTTGTGTGATCGTGTAACTATTTTAGTCATTCTACACTTGGTGTATGAGCTAACCCTTTGGTTTACAAGAGGTACATTTTTTTGTCATAATAGAATCCTACTCCTACGAATATGTTTGGAAGCATACTATAGAATCCAACTCCTAGTTTTCCATTGGAAGGCATTCCAAAATCAAATATTTGTTGATTAAATTTATATATGACACTTTAAAATAAAATCTTTTTTTAAACTACTGTAAAACCTCAAATTGAAGCCCTGGGCTTATTTTTTGCGAACCTTGGATGGGCTTCTTTACAAGGCTACTTATGAAAAGTAAGAGAGGGGCTTCTTTTCAAAATGAATGCTGTAAATTTTGGGAATTTGTACTATAAAACAATAAATAATGCCACTGTAACATCAATCTGTATCATGGAGTGTTTTTTAATAATAACGTAATAGTGTAGTTTTATATAGCGCGCATATCCATCTAATGCAAGATGCTCAGGGCGTTTGATATGTGGACTAGGAACTCAATCAATGACTTCCTTCGGCCCTAAGGGTCCCTTCGTGTCTGTGCTACCTGGTAACCCGGTACCAGCAACTCTCGTCTTCCACTATAGGGGCTGTCTATTCCAGTACACCGGGGTATCCCCCTACTCATCTCGAAGGATGTACTACGTTCTTTATAGTGCATTCAGTTTATAGTCCTTATTCGAGAAGACTTGTTCTACCACCAGAACCATAGGCTAGCGTGCCGTTCAAACCAGCGCCGATATTATGGCTATAGCTTTTTGAAATTCATGTACAGTTTGAAATGAAATCTTCTTTAAACTACCGTAAAATCTCGAATAGAAGCCCTGGGCTTCTTTTTTGCAAACTTTGGTTGGCTTCTTTAAAAGGCTACTTATGAAAAGTAAGAGAGGGGCTTCTTTTCAAAATGAATGCTGTAAATTTTGGAAATTTGTACTATATAAAACAATAATATAACAATAAGGCCACTGTAACATCAATCTGTATCATGTAGTGTTTTTTTAAATTCATGTACAGTGTGTGTATTTCGAACAGAAGCCTATGCTATCTTGAAGAGAAGCCCATGGGCTTCTGTCCTAGGCTTATTTTGCAAACTAAAGAAGGTGGGGGGGGGGGGGGTGCTTCAATTCGAGATGGGCTTCTCGAGATTAAGCCCACTGAGATTCAATTAGGGGTGTTACGGTATTGGACAATAAATTAGCAAAAAAAAAAAAATAATAATAGCACAACCTGCATTAAAGGACTGGTTTTTTAGTAGGAGTGGTTTGGATCTGCTTCTCAACCTTGAGGACAGGGGTTCAATCCCTTGCTATGTATTTCGCTTTTGTCCTTAGGCAAGGCACTTTACCTACGAACATGGAAACAATTATTTAGTACTGTTTATAATGTTTCGATTTGTTATTAATGGCGCAATTTTTTGAAAGTAAAGAGATTCAACGTATTACAAACAGTTTAATTTATCTATATATATATTGTTCTGGCTATGTTTCACAAGTCCTTTAGAAGATTTCTTATTCCAGTATCTTAACAAGTTACAATTTAATTTGCACAAGTTTATTCTATACCGGTCATCTGCATTCAGATTTATTTTAAAAATCATTGATTTTAGAATATCTGGGAATACAAATTACTCATTCAGCAGAGGCGGCCATATAGGTAGGCTAGTAATGTAGCTGGAAAGAGAAGCAGTGAGAAGAGTAGCATGCGCATAATACTCCTCCTCCTCCTCCTCCTCCAAATAAAATGTCCACCCACCTTATCAACTTTACAGACGCGTGTATACAGATCAATCAACATTTGGTTGCTCAATTCAAAAAGGGAACTTGTAATGCTCGTTAGAAAATGAAAAAAAAAATCTATATATTGATAATAATAGGTCAATTTATAAGGTGCAAATAAACAAGGTGTC